TAAATCACCATGTCCCATTGTGTAACTTCATCATCCCTCTAAATTACCATGTCCCATTGTGTAACTTCATCATCCGTCTAAATCACCATGTCCCATTGTGTAACTTCATCATCCCTCTAAATCACCATGTCATATTGTGTAACTTCATCATCCCTCTAAATTACCATGTCATATTGTGTAACTTCATCATCCCTCTAAATTACCATGTCATATTGTGTAACTTTATCAGTTCTCTAAATCACCATGTCCCATTGTGTAACTTCGTCCTTCCCCTAAATCATCATGTCCCATTGTGTAACTTCGTCATTCCCCTAAATACTATGTTAACTACTTATCATTGCCTTAAGTCACTTCTTTGATGTTATACCGTGATCATTTTGGTGAAATTAGGACGAAAAATCATAAATGGCAAAATTAAAAATTTTATAGGCAGTACTGTCAGATTGCTTGCTTTCTGCATGCACAGTAACTTACAACTACTTAAAATTAGAGATAGAAAAAGCCTGATTTTCTTCAAGAGTTTATCGTAAGGATGTGCGATGACTTCCACATATACAGTTGAATATATCACCATGAAATCAAGTAACCAGTCTCTTTCGAATCGCATTTTTTAATTGTCTATTAAGGAACGGCACCCAGTACATAGTTTTAACGTATAAGTAATGGTACATCGTCATAACCGGATTTCGAACCAGTCGAGTTTCAGCAAAGCTATCTAACCAGTCCAATCTCTCATCTTCAGAGAATAACATGTTTATCAGATACAGATAAATTCCAGCAGGAGAAATTTGTCCGAGCAGACGATATGTTCTCCTGAACAAGCCAGCTAGACACTGTATCCTGTTGAGCATCATATCTCTCTCAACGAACATGCCCCGGCTCTTTATCTTTGTTTATTTGCCGCCAGAAGCTGCCACACGAAGGCAGTGTGGGAAGCTGAAAGCAATGACGCACTTGATTACATTTCCTGAAATTGTTTTTTTTCCCCCCCTCGCGCTTGTTTTGCTGCTTGGAATTCAAACCTTCCCCTACCCCTAGAACGTTACACCCTCCCCCCTCCCCCATTTGCACTCATAGCCTTCGCACACAGCCTTTTCTGACACTTGTAATCTCATCCAGCGCATCGTAAACGCTCAGGATCTGGCGACCCTCAGGAGAACGGTTACAAAAACTAGGTAACTCTTTAACGATTGACTACGGGAATAGTTATGGCTGGCCACAAAACAAGCAACAGTAAAATAAACATGCATACACTCACAAAAGACAACACTAATAACTGCCGTGTGGGTACTGTATCGTCCGAACACCCTCTTGCTCAGCCACTAGCAAGTATGTGCCCCAAGTGGTATCATGTTTTCAACTATAGCGCCTCAAGCACACAAAAATTATGACTCGAATTTCCGGACTCAAAGTAAATAACCCTTTTCCATGCGGTCAGTTGTGTTGGGCATAAAGGGCTAGACCGATATTTTATAGACCCAGTGGCACTCGGTTGGTCATGTGGTCAACACCACATCAGCCACATTCAATTCCTAGGAGTGCTGGTACCTATTTCAGTCTGGCTAGAACTTGGAACCAAGCTTATTTCTGAAAACCCCTGCTCCACTTCCAGAATTTAAAGCTGAAAATTGGTACCAGGAAGTTTCTGGAGAAGAAACAGCGGCCAGTGTAATGTCGACACTGTGACTCTTTAAGTGAAAGTAGGTCTAGTATCATATACTCAGTACATGGCGTCCTAGTGTGCATTACAACTCCGATAACTATAAAAAAGGGGGAGGGGGGGGGGAACACACGACTGTGCTGTATATTAGTTATAAAACTGGAAACTAGATTAAGTTATTGTCATCACTAGTTCTATAGTAAGAAGTTGCACTTCAAAATATTAGAAACACTGTGTCTGATTAGGCTCAGCTGTTGTAAAGAATAAACTAAATAAACAACTCAGAAATAGTTGATATTCATTCATTCATTCAGTAGCATGTCCCTCGCGGAACCTCGCTGCCATAACAACCCTCCGGAAAACCTTCCTATCATGAGCAAGATGTCCTGCGTCTGATACACCCATCTGGAGATCATCTGCCACATCCTGCACCCATCTTCTCCTTGGCCTTCCTCTTCCTCTCTTCCCAGGCATATACCCCTCCATTATTGTTCACACACATATATATGTGTGTGTGTGTGGGGGGGGGGGGCGCTCTGTGGCTAAGTCGATGCAAACGCTTCGTAATGCCGGGGTACCGGGTTCGATCCCAGCTGCGGGCCATGCGCCTTGCGTTGGTTTCGACAGTGGTATCAGGGGGCCAACCGTCCAGAAAGCAATAGCAAACTACTGGACGTAAATTTGCCTAAAGAAACTACACTACAGCTAGTGGCTGCTGGGGTTGGTTCTGCAACGTCCTGTAAAGGATACGCAACTAACCTTTATATATATATATATATATATATATATATATATATATATATATATATATATATATATATATATATATATATATATATATATATATGGAAAAAACTATATGGAAGAAGATTAAATAAAAAAATAAATAAATAAACGTATATGAAATGAGAAAAGCCGAGGAAGCGTTATTAAAATATAAATAATTAACAAATTAGAACTTTAAAATCATGCTATAAGCTCTCTTAGTTAACTGTGTCTGTCATCACCCTCTCCCCCAACCACAATGCACCCACTACTCCTCTCTCCCTTTCCGAAGGATTTTAAATTCACCACCTGACGATATATATATCTAAATTGTTTTTAAACTGACCTGTACATTGGTGTCCACCTATACTAAAGTGGTAGCAGGAATTGTGATGAGAAGTAAATGCGGCCAGTGTAAAATTTATCACATCACTCATCGAGTATTAGTGCTACTACTACAACTGCTGCTACCACCACCACTACCACTACAACAACAACGACAACTAAAAAACTTTTACCACTGTCTTGCTTTACCACATGTTAGGTTTTAATTCATCACCTTACCGGGGTCGAACCAGAATCTATCGTATAAGAGCCCGACGTTGTAACCACCCGGCCAGATACAACTACTACAGCTACTATTCTTTCACTACTACCACACCACTGCTTCTACTGTGAGCAGATTAAGCAATGAGGTACCTTCCTGACTTCCCTACCATGAACTACAGGATCAAGATCTGGAGGGCGCGTGCATACCTCAAGATAAGCTCAGATCTGAAGTACCCTTTGCACCACATGCTCTTCAATAAAAAAGGACAATAGGCTTAAAAGGGGCATATAATGGCTGGGTAGGGCAGAGGATGACATCATGCAGGTTTGCAGCCTTACAGACATCCATCCAGGTGAGGAGTGGATACCAGCGTCTAAAGCGCCCAATCTCACATTCTCCTGTGTCGTGACGCTAGACAGGAATAGTTCGGGAGTAGAATCTAGCTGCTGTCAACGCTGAGGTATGCGCGATTATCAGTGACAATTCAAATGAGACAGATGTGGTGATCTTCACAGACGGGTCCGTTATACTAGGACATAAGAGTGCATGGGCATTTACAGCTCGCTCTTCAGGCAGAAGAGTTCAAGAAGCCAGTGGTGCCATCTCCATGACCACCAGCAGCAGCATGACGAGTAATGGCGGTGACACAAACTTTCATGTGGCTGGGATCACAGGACTATTCCTGCATGTGTGTGTGTGTGTGCTGAGTGATTCTTTGAGTATGATCCGGCGGGTCGAGGCAGGCTGGTTATGCAGACAGTGGTTTGAATCATTGCAAAACTGGCCTGTGTGTGCAGCTACCTAAATATTCGTCCCAGGGTATGCAGGCGTTGTTGGTAATAAAAGAGCTGATAGACTGGCAGTCACTGCATTAATTGAAGATGGCCGGCCCATGGATCACGTAGACATTATCATTGCCCTTAGAGAGATAGGACGTTCTTAGGATTTCGGAAGCAACGTGTTTACATCACTGCTAAGAATACGCGAATCTGGAGTAAAGATCGGCACATCCAAGCATGAGAAGCACACCGGACGCATACGAAGTCTTGTTAACCAACATAGGACATGCACTATGATGAGAGGGGAATCTGAGCGTTTATGGATGTGACCGGAGTGCTGTGAAGATAATCTAACTCATAACTCATAAGCAAATTAATCTTGCGGGCAAGGCGGTTACTGTGACTTCTCTGACATGTTGCAGTTTTGATGTCCTTTTTTTTTTCAAGTGAGATGCATATCGCGAGGAAGATTGTGTCAAAGGTGCTGGATATTGGAGTGCAGCCTGAAGCAGCCAGACAGTAATATTTCACCAAGGGCAAGACTCCTCTGATTAATCACCACAGAACGGAAGTCATTAGTGGAATCGCGGGAACGAAACAGAATCCGATCATATAAAAAAACTAAGATGGCGATGTGATCGTCACTGGAGCTATGTACTTCGCGCTTTGTGCGACACTCTTATAAAAAAACACCCGTGTATTCGAATGCAAAGTTGTGCTTAAATTTTAAAGCAATCGGTGAAGAACTGTCAGCATAGAGATTCATGCAGATTTCCGAGGTCAACAGTCGAAGTTCGCCTATCGCGAAAGTAAAAACCCGAGCCGGCAATGCGGCAATGAAACAAAAAATCGGATCGTGGGAAAACAAAACCAATATGCCGATGTGATCGTCGCTGGAGCTCTGTCGTTCTCGATTTGTGCGACACTCTTATATTAAAAACACACGTGTATTCAAATGCAAAGTTGTTGAAAATTGTAAAGCACTCGGTGAATAACTACCTTTAGGAGATTAGCGATAATGAACAAATGAACAAACATTTTTATATTTATAGATGCATATATATATCTATGTGTGTGTGTGTGTGTGTTTGTGTGTATGAGTGTGCCTGCGCATTTGTCTATCCGAATGAATGGAATCGATACACTAATCATAAAAGTACGATATCATCGATTGTCACATGACCTACTTTGTGTTATTATGTGTACAGTTCTCTAATTGCCTCCGTGTTCTGGTCTCTGTCTGCAGCAATCTTCCTGATCGTTGCCTGCATCATCTACCCGTCCGGCTGGGACCACGAGCATGTGAAGGCCATCTGTGGCCCCGGTGCTGGACAGTACAAACTGGGAGACTGCGGCATCCGTTGGGCTTACATCCTGGCCATTCTAGGGATTTTTGACGCTGCCTTTCTGGCGATACTTGCTTTCTTTTTGGCTTCCAAGCGAGCTAAGATTGAGATCTACTCACCAAATGACACATTTACTAAATGTAAGATTTGAAAGTGTATTTAGTTTATGTATGTATGTAAGTGCTATCCCAATAGTACACAAAACAAGCGATAAACACCCGGTGACACAAAGTGCCACCATGCGGATGAGGATCACCCGTGGAGAGGTCCCGGAAACCCAGTTCAGCCGTGTGACCATATTTAGGGCCCAGACAAAAGCCAGAAAGAGCTTGAAAATATCTTAAAATTACATCTCACAAAGTGATTGAGAGGTAATATATTATGTGTTTATTACATGAAATGTTCTTTTTAATGGGTCGCAGTGCTCCATTTCTTAGGAAAAGGGAAACTACTCACTGTCTAAAACAAACATATGGTCACAGATAACTACTTGAAAGAATTCTTGAATCGAAAGTGTTGATCTGGTAGGTGGAGATATTGCAGCCAACTTGTAAGTCACAACACACCACGCCTTTTACTCAAATTACGAACAAATGTGGAAACAGAAGATGTCGATTAAGAAAAAGACAACGATTAAGACTAAAAAGAAGAGGGTGATTAAGAAAAAGCTGAAGATGATAATGATGACATGCTATTCACTGTGACGCAAATTGCAATTCACAAATGTATATTAGGATATAGCTGGAAGCGAATATGTGTTTATTTTTTAAACGACGGGGTAACTAGAGTAAATGATGAACTACAGGTATCGACAAGCGTCTCACAAAGAATAACTAGAGGGGATGATAAACTACAGGCATCGACAAGTATCTCACATAGAATAACTAGAGGGGATGATAAACAACAGGTATCGACAAGCATCTCACATAGAATAACTAGAGTGAATGATGAACTACAGGCACCGACAAGCATCTCACATAGAATAACTAGAGAGGATGATGAACTACAGGCATCGACAAGCGTCTCACATAGAATCACTAGAGGGGATGATGAACTACAGGCATCGACAAGCATCATACATAGAATAACTAGAGGGGGTGATGAACTACGGGTATCGACAAGCATCTCACATAGAATAACTAGAGGAGATGATGAACTACAGGCATCGACAAGCATCTCACATTGAACAACTAGAGTGGATTATGAACTACAGGCATCGACAAGTGTCTCACATAGAATAACTAGAGGGGATGATGAACTACAGGTATCGACAAGCATCTCACATAGAATAACTAGAGTGGATGATGAACTAAAGGCACCGACAAGCATCTCACATAGAATAACTAGAGTGGATGATGAACTACAGGTATCGACAAGCATTTCACATAGAATAACTAGAGTGGATGATGAACTACAGGCACCGACAAGCATATCACATAGAATAACTAGAGGGGATGATGAACTACAGGCATCGACAAGCATCTCACATAGAATAACTAGAGGGGGTGATGAACTACAGGCATCGACAAGCATCTCACATAGAATAACTAGAGGAGATGAACGAACGAACGAACGAACGAACAAACTTTATTTTCAAAAGGTTAAGAATTGGGCACGCAGGCCCGTCTAACATGCTGCCCTTCCACTTTGCTCCTTTCATACAATGTTTTATTTTTACCTCATTTCATAGTTAATAGTAATAATAATAATTGATAATAATAATAATTAATAAAAAGAGGAATGCACAATTAAAAATTTGAGAAATATAGAAAAGAAACAAAAGAACAAAAAAGAGAAGAAGGGAAAAAAAAATATCTAAGTCTTAATTACAAATGCTGGAATGTGCTCTAATTTATACTGACATTACTTGAACGTTTGAAAGAGTATAATAATAAGCCTATTCAAAAAATGTAAGTCTTACAGGTTGCATAATATAAACATCATCAAAACCAATGAAATATTAGTTAGAAATATTGGAATGCATTCGACTGACATCTTCAGTTTTAACAATAATAAGCTTCAGTTTTCAATCTTCACATCTTCAGTTTTAACAATAATAAGCTTCAGTTTTCAACCACCACCAAGTTCCCCCCCCCTCCCTTCCCCCCCCCCCCCCCCAAACCGTTAATAAGAAATACATCAAAGCTTTAACATACTATAATCTTTTTAGGGGGGCATATAGTCTGTAGTGAAATAATAATCAAATAGAGGGGATGATGAACTGCATGCATCGAAAAGCGTCTCACATAGAATAAGTAGAAGGGATGATGAGCTACGGGCATCGACAAGCATCTCACATAGAATAACTTGAGGGGATGATGAACTACAGGCATCGACAAGCGTCTCACATAGAACAACTTGAGGGGATGATGAACTACAGGTATCGACAAGCATCTGCCATAGAATAACTAGAAGGGATGATGAACTACAGGCATCGACAAGCATCTCACTTAGAATAACTAGAGGGGATAATGAACTACAGGCATTGACAAGCATCTCACATAGAACAACTAGAGGGGATAATGAACTACAGGGATTGACAAGCATCTCACAAAGAATGACTAGAGGGGATGATGAACTACAGGCATCGACAAGCATCTCACATAGAATAACTAGAGGGTATGATGAACTACAGGCATCGACAAGCATCTCACATAGAATCACTAGAGGGGATGACGAACTACAGGCGTCGACAAGCGTCTCACATAGAATAACTAGAGGAGATGATGAACTACAGGCATCGACAAGCGTCTCACATAGAATAACTAGAGGGGATGATGAACTACAGGTATCGACAAGCATTTCACATAGAATAACTAGAGTGGATGATGAACTATAGGCATCGACAATCGTCTCACTTAGAATAACTAGAGAGGATGATGAACTACAGGCATCGACAACTGTCTCACATAGAATACCTAGAGGGGATGATGAACTACAGGTATCGACAAGCATTTCACATAGAGTAACTAGAGGAGATGATGAACTACAAACATCGACAAGCATCTCACATAGAATAACTAGAGGGGATGATGAACTACAGGCATCGACAAGCATCTGACATAGAATTACTAGAGAGGATGATGAACTACAGGCATCGACAAGCGTCTTACTTAGAACATTTTGAAAGACTTCCTGAGTAAGCCTAAGAGCAATGTATGATCCCATGACAAAAAATCATAGATGCAAAAAAAAAAAAAAAAAAATTATATCGAAAGTCAAACTATTGTTGTATTTGCAAATATTATATACTAAGGTCCGCACAAAAAATCTGCAAAATTATGTCTGCGTAACGCAACAGGAGCTGTCTTTGTTACTGATTTCATGGACGTGTGTTCGAGTAGATCTCAAGTCTGAGGGAGCCCAGGGGTATCTATGCACTAGTGATTCTTTTTAGCTTAGTGAGGGCCAGGGTTTCAGCTAGCTTGTGTGACTGCAGTGAGGTACTTTTTCTGTTCCTTGAAATGTGTATACAAGCAAGACTGCAGAACTTGAAGCACCAGGTGTTGAATGGATATTAACATTTGCAGATACTGTTCTTGCATGTAGGCAAGGCGGAGGCAGACAATGGATAGCAGGAAACTATAGCAAAGTGACTGACTGGGTGCAGAAATGGGTGCTGTCATCAACTCAGAAAAGGCGGCTGTTTTGTGGTGCTCCCTGGATAATAGAATTATGCGAGCTAGTGTTCCAAGCCTCACAATAAATAATAGTAACATCAAAAGAAAATGCAAGCTGAGGTACCTGGGTATGGTTTTCATATGAAGCCAGTCCTTTAGGGTTTATGTGGAGGCAGTTGCGGTGAAATGTCAAAGGACTCAATGCTCTCATGACAATGGTAACAATGGACAAGGAACTAAGAATGCTGTTCACAATGTTCCAGCATATGATATTGTTGGTAATAGATTATGGACTTGGAATGCTCACCATATCAAAGAGTCAGCTGATGAAACTTGAACGCAAACAGAATGAAGCCATACGGGTCATTCCGGGATGTACAAGAGATACCCCGGTAGTATGTATGCGATATATACTTGCACTGCCAACTATTGCAGAAAGGCTCAAAGTTTTGCAAGTAAAGTCATATCTCAGAGTAGCTTCAGAAAGAAGCACCTCCTGCTTGAAGCACTAGATAAAGCTAATAGTCACAGGCTGAAAAGAGGAACGTCTTGGATGGCGCAGGCAGAAGACACAATTGGACATGTGTACAGCTTGATACATTTGGGCGAGGAGAGGAGTGGGTCAAGGTGTCCGAGAAAGTTTTAGACTGGTGTAGGGTTCTAATAACTTTAGGTCGTGAGTGCAGAGACTTGCCAGCTGGTGCTGCAGAATCAGAAGTTCAACAAATGATTCATGACAATTCCCGCTAAGGTGATGTGATTATCTATAAAGATGGCTTTGTGTTGAGAGGCAGACGAAGTGCATGGGGGTTCACAGCAAAAGTGAATGGACGTCGCTTAGTGAAGCAAAGCCTGGCATATAATATCACAACGTCTAGTTTAATAATAAAGCTAGCTTGAGAATCAGTTGTACACACATGCCGTAATTGTAACTGACTCACAGAGCATGTTCAGAAAGGTGGAGACAAGCATGCTACGTGCAGAGTGGCAAGCATAAATTCAGATGTCCCGGGTAGTAAGCATCCTTTGGATTTTTTCCAGGTGATGCAGGTGTGTTGGGACATGAGCAGATAGAAAAACTGGTCGGCTCTGCACCACTTAGTGGTGAATAGCTTGATACTGTGAGGGCCCTTTGGGGGCGAGTGAACAGTGCGGAGGAACAGATACATCAATACGGTCTCAGGAGAATGGCGCTGCGAGGAGTTATCAGAGGATCTGGCAGACGCTCAACACTCACTGGAAGAGCGAGAAGGAAAAACAGACAGTCACTGGTACCATCGGAATAGAAACTATCTGCTTGCTGCTGAAGTCTGAGACGGAGCGCTTATGGGAGTGTCCCGAATGCTGTGATGTTGATTCCTAATTCAACATTTAACATTCAACATTTAACATTCAACATTCATGTGTGTATTTTATTTCTACAAGATATATCTTCTCTATTTTGATGCCGTCGTGAGATCAAATAGAGAGTGCAATTTTCTTCTATTTTTTACGCTGTCTGTGTGTGTGTGTGTCTCTGTGTTGAGTGTGTATGTATATATGTTGAGTGTCTCTGTGTTGTATGTGTATGTTTGTGTTTTGCTTGTCTATTGTTTAGTGTTGCTGTTGAAGTTGATGTGAGCACGGGAATATGTTTGTGTGTAGGATACTGCTTTTGAATGTCTTTCATTGTAAACAGGTAGATCTACTGTGGTCTGTAATCTTTTTAACTGTCCAAACAGATTCGACTTTATCCAAAATTCCATATTAACAGTTTAATCATTTCCTCGATAATAATTCCACCCCCCCCCCCCCAAACCATTTTTCCTCTTCCAAAATCCTTTCTCTTCCTAATCTAAAAGCTAAAAGGCATATTTTTTTTTCCCACACAACCATATCTGCCATGAAAATGACTCTAATATATATGACAACACGATAATTTATACCATGATTATGAATGAAAACATATGTCATTTCTCTCCCGCTAGCTGAAGGGAACGGTTATTCTGACGAGACCATGTCCAAGAAATCAATGCCCTTCCAGCCTCATCTGATGGTGGTGCCCGGCGCCCATGAACAGGACCAGTACAGCGATAACTACTCCAGACTTTCAGGCAGGCCCGTGTCCCGCTCTGGATTCCAGCTTTAAGCTAGGCACTGCCCACAACCAGTAATCTCCCCTTGGCCATACCATCCCACTGTAGCATTGTTTGATTGGTTCGACATATTTATTGTTTCCTTAACTCTTATGTCAGTGTCAGTTTATTGAAGTAATGTCCATTTGTCTTTCATGTGTTTAATAACTATATATAAGACCACAACAACGTCTTCCGGTTTACTTTAACATTTAGGTTCCCATCTTTAGCATTTGGATAGTTAGAAGGTATAAACACAAGTTTTCAAACATTAATAATATTTCTATGGCCAAAATCTTCTAGTACATTTTCTTTACGTCCTTCTTAGGACGTAATTTTTTGTTATTTGAAGCCCCACTCTGGCTTTTGCCAGGGGCCGCAATATAGGCAGGCCATCAATATGGCCAATTGTCTGAACGCGGTCTCTGGGACCTCTCCACGGTGATCCTCATCCGCATGGTGGCACTTTGTGTCATCGGGTGTTTATCGCTTGTGTGATGTCCTGGTGGGGTAGAAAGTCAGTCAGTCAGTACATTTTGACAGTATGAAAATACAGAGACCTAGTACCTGGAGGTTTCTTTCCACTTTGTATTATCTGCCTGTGCTCATAGGATCTGATGTCCCCTTCCCCCCCCCCTTTTTTTTCCAGCAAGCTGCTTCCTGAAGGTTTCTCGCCGCTGGGACTCCAAGATTGGCATTCTAGATGGCAGTCCAACAAGACATACCCCAGATGCCCCCTTCAACCTCCTAAGAAGTTATCGTTTGGTCAACATATGGTTAGGGCACCCTATCTGTTCTACATGGTTCTGCTCTAGTGTTTCCTAATATCCTAGGGAGGTGGTGATCTCGCCCCCCCCCCTTTTTACATTCCAAGAGTTCCAACGATCAACTAATCAATACAGTAAAAGGCAGCATGGAACTATTCTTTCCTTGCTTGTTTAAGTCGACTTGAAGTATATGAAAAACCCACCAACTTGCAAGTTACAATTTTTCATTGTGTTTGTTATATTGTTAAGCTCGCTAATCTACTTCTCGTTCCCTTTTATATCTTTCCATGCATGATAAAAATGGACTATGACTGCAGCATTCTTACCCTTCCTTCCCCGCTGCCTTTTTCACGATACAGCATTCCATTTGAAATATTTATGTATTCACTATTTATTATGCTCATTTTTTCAGAAGAATATAAAAAAAATTTATATATAAATACAGACAGCCTTCCAATATTGTCTAAAATTGACAATATACATACAGCCTTCCAGTATTGTCTAAAAAAGACAATATCCCTAGTGACTATAAACAAAATGTGTACATAATGCTGTCAACATTCCTTACTCTAAAGAAATGTTACAGTATAACGAATTGTATTAGTTACAGTTATTTTTTTCTCATAACAGCAAATTCTGTTGCAATTAACATACATTGTTTAGCCATAGTTTGTATAGAGTTTTATTACTGAGCAGCATTACGTTATATAGAATACAGCTTGTTGCAAAGTTGCAAACAATAACCACAATGCCATTGTTTGTAAAACCTCAGGTCCGAGAGAAGACCAATTGTTGATGAGTTCTGGTCTATGTTTACATGTGGACCCAGTCTACAAATGTGTGCCTGTCAATGTCCTGGCCTTTGGGTGGGAACTAGATAAAATAAGTAAATCAAGAGGAGAAGAAAGGACTAGAATGTCCGTACACCGGTATCGACATGGTCAAAGGAAATAAGGTAGACACAAAACACAAGAAGAAGAAAGTTAGTGAATGAGGTAACAAAGGGAAATAACAGAAGTAAGCTGCAGGCCGGACAAAGAACCACTTAGCACCAGTTGGTTGTGGGTCTCCGCTTGTTTGGGTGATATCGGGCAGACGAAGTGAAATATTTACACCATTCACGAAGTACCACTGGGTTTTTGAATACTAGGAGTTTGCATAATATACCCGAATTATATATGAGATTGAAGCGGGCCCTTTAGTTACTTAATGATAATGGTTTCTTCACACGTCTTACATGTGGACGTTGCTATGTAGGAGATAATGATGTACATGACAGTAGTAACCTGAAGTAATAACACAGTTGTCGGTATGTGAATCTGCTACATTTGTCAGTGACAGTATGCCTGTTGTGGCTTTCAAACTGTTACAGTGTACATGTCATTCTGTCTTACTGTGCTACATTAGCCAGCTACAGTAGTCAGGTAGCTGAAGCGTTATAAAGTAGCAACTTGGCTACTTCTTGTAGAAGATCTCAAGCGCTGCTTTGTATTATACGCACACACACACACACATACACACACGGATGTAGTTAAGCACCACTTCCCTTCTCTTACACACACACATCTAGAATGATTGTTTGAAATAACAATACGATGCAATCGTGAACCGCTTGGAATAATATTTGGAACAATAACACAATGCACTTGCCGGTCCAGTTCTACATGGATGGGTATTCAGAATAATTATACAATGCGCGTGCGCACACACATACACACGCACCACAGGAATAATTAATTTGAGTTGTAATACATAATAAATGCACTACGTGTATGGCAATTTGGAATAACGATACATGCAGGGCAAATCATGCCTGAAGTGTTATTTAGAACAATACTATACACATACACACACACAAACACACAGAGTACATACACCACTTTGATAGGTATTTAACCTGGCTACAAACATCACGGAGACGAGTGCCCAAAACGTATTCATTTCTCTGGTCTCTCTCACTTGATCGATGTTGTTGTAGGACAGACTACAGTCATAGCATGTACCAGCAGACGGGTACTTATTTAGCTTGTTAAATGTTGACCAGTGACAATAAAGTGAACGACATTTCTTTGGAGTTGATTTAAACACTTTTAAGTATTTTTTTGTATTCCTAGGATCAGCGGCGAAGATTAAAGAGTTGGGGGGGGGGGGGGGGGGGGGTGGTAAACCCTTAACATCCACTGGATTACTAAAATGGTTACTGGATTACGTGAAGGTTCCCAGTTGTATGCCGCGTGCGACATACCTTTGGCGTTATATTGTTTGTAACATATTGTTTGTATTATGCTGTGTTATGTTCATATTTTATGTCCAGGCGGGCTAATAGACTGAAATGATTGGGGCAAAAAGAGAGAATGTCTGACGACAAAGAGGTAAAAACTGTGTACACCAGGGAGTTAAATTGTTGTAGACCAAGAGACAGACCGAAAAGGTTATGGAGAGATACTATTCAGGCAGACCTACACACACTTAATGTCACCACTAACTGGAACGAGAACGCCAAACAGATTAATTGAGAGGTTGGGGGAGGAAAAGGGGGGGGGGGGGGTGGCACTCAGTTTCGTCTAAAGAATTGTTGGGCGGTTCAAGGGACTTGAACCCTCCCCCCCCCCCTCACAGCTTCTGGTTAAGGGGGGGGGGGGGGATTGAAAGAGTGTGTGTAATTCAATACCGGGAGCAGACTATTAAATGTAAACTTGGCATTTGTGTGTAGACCTAAAACATGATGAACTTACTCTAGCCTAGTGGTTTGCAGGGGCGCCGCCACAACAATATTATTTGGGGGGGGGAGGAGGGGGGAGGTAGTATTATAATTTTCTCTAGGCAAGGGGTCCTTAAGGGACAATATACCTTGTGTTAGCGCACAATAATAACAATAACCGTTCTGTATCGAATGGACAGATAACACACTGATTTAAACAATATGGAATTTATAAACAATTGCTTTAAAAGAGAAACTCTGTGCATTATTAGAAGGCCAGTTAGCCTTGCAAACGTTTCCTGGGGTGGGGGGGGGGGCGCTCAAGGTACCAGAGCAACCCAGTTCGCGTGACCTGTGGTGGGCAGGAGATTCTTGAAGAGTCTTCAGATCTGAAGCTTTTGCCTTTTGATCCCTGTTAGAGATGATTTTATAATTAACCCAGATCTCCTAGGTGACTCCAGGCTAAGATGGTTGCCAATAATTGTCTGGGGAAGTGGAAAAGTCAGGTATGCATTGACACACGACCAATACAGCATTAACTGTGTCACACAAATAGCAACCAAGTAGCCATTTCTCCACTGACGTGAAATCGGCCATTTACTATCGATACTTTCTAGAACTTCATCTCACGAGAATTGTCTGCCGTGGAACATCTTTAACTTTCCGTGTGACAGTATCGAAATACAGCCACGGGAGTGTTTGCTAGAGTTAATAAACAATCGGTTGTACGTATTGACTTGAGTCGTGTACCGCGGGTCTTTTATGTTTATGTCCCCGTCAGTTACTGGATGTCTGCACATCAGATCCAAGAGGCCACCGGTGAGGGCCCCGAGGACGTCGCTAACAAGAAGGGACAGCGCTTGGGCAGCCACGTCAATGGCCATGGGCCGTGGAACTTGTTGCGTGTTCGTGAATTTACGGACACCATCAAGTTTTCTCTCTCATGTGATTGGTTGCGTGCCGCTGTTTGATTGAGCGTCACGATTGCGGGGTCACCCACCCGACCTGGACCAGGGGCAGTACCAGAAGTGAACCTTGAAAATGACTAGCACTTTTACACCGGCTTATGTGAGCAGACCGACTCCGCACTTCACGCCGACTTTTGTATTGAACACTGAAATTCCACACTGCGCAATCTGGTTTTGTTTTGAATCCACGTTTAGAGAAGCAACAATTTGATAATCTGTTTGCACTTCGTGATACATAGTTGGCTTGTTTGACATCTGCAATTCAGTTACAGGTAAGGGAACTTTATCATTGTTTGTAATGTTTCCTGAACCTCTAAGCTCACCTGTCAGGATAGGAAAATAAATATGTATAGCACCTGTCCACGTTACGAGGTTTCAAGAGCCTGTGCTACTAAAACGTAGTCCCACGGTAGATACTGCCTTTGGGGTTGAAGTGTCGGACCTTCACATGCTAAATTATCTTTCTCTTAAACCAACTGAGACATCAGTTATAAGGGCGGGGGTTGTGAGGCCAGGATGTGGTTCCAATTTCTTCATATTCTTTCTCTCGTTTTTTTGACAGACAATGTTCACTTTCC